AAACTCTAAGAATTAAAATAAAATGTTAGAAATCAGAACCGTTGTAAAAGAAATGAAGAATGCCTTTAATGAACTCTCAATAAATAGACCATCCTGGGTGTGAAAACAATCAGTAAATTCTAAAAACATGACAATAGAAATTTCCAAAGCCAAAATATAAAGAAAGAAAAAATAAAAAAGAAATATGGAGTAAGTTCCAAAGTTATAAAATGGGCATAACTGATATTTCAATTATGTATTGGTAGTCCAATGTGTCTATGATATTCCAATTGGTATTCCATTCCTCCAAAAGGAGAAAAAAATAAAAGAGCTACAGAAATATTTAAAGTCATAAAGGGCCAAAATTTTTCCAAAATTAATGATAGATACCAAAACCATAAATTCACCAAGATTGAAGAAGATCAAGCACGATAAAATCCTCCCAAAATCTGAACCTTGGCATATCATATTAAAACAGAAGAAAACCAAAGACAAATTTCTGAAAGGAGTCAGAGGACAAAAACAACTTACTTTTAAAGGAAAAATAATAATAATTATATATTTCTTACCAGAAATCATGCAGTGAAATATTTTAAAAGAAATAAAAAATTTCTCAGGCAAACAAAAACTGAAGAAATTCACTTCCAGAAAATCTAACTGGCTAAAACGAAGTCTTCAGGAGAAGGAAAATTATATAGGTTAGAAATTCAAATCTACATATTCAAATCAAAAGCATCAGAAGAGAAATAAAAGAAAATAGAATATTTTGTAATTTTCTTATTCTAAATTTATAACTACTTGTTCAATACAACATTCATAATATTTCCATTCATTATTATATGTGAACAATGAGATTAATGCTAACAATGTTTAAAGAGATAGGATGAGTATATTCTGTTATAAGGTACCTGAAGTACCCATTAGGCCATATAGTATTATTTGAAAATGAATTAGATTAGCTATAAATGCATATTACAAACTCTAGGAGAGCCACCAAACTTTCAAAGCAGTATAATTGATATATTAAGAAAGAAAAGAAAATGGAATCATAAATTGTTCAATTAAAACTGGAGAGAAAAAGATAGAAAGAAGGGATCTAAAACAGTAAATAGAAAATAGTTACAGATGTATTTAAATATAATTGTTCAATTAAAACTGGAGAGAAAAAGATAGAAAGAAGATATCTAAAACAGTAAATAGAAAATAGTTACAGATGTATTTAAATATTACTCCAACTGTGTCAGTTCTCACATTAAATGTGAATGATCTAAATGCAGCAATTAAAACACCAAGACTACCAAGAAGAATTTTTTTAAAAAAACACCTAAATGTTCTACATATAAAATCCTATTTAAACATAAAAATGGATATATTAAAAGTGAAAAAAAAATGAAGACATACCATGTGAATACCAATAAACACAAATCTATAGTAGCAATTACAAAGTAGTCTGCAGAAGGAAAATTATTCAAACTAAAAATAGGCATTACATCATGACAAATGGGTTAAAATTTCCAAGAGGATATAATACTCCTTAAAGTGTATACAACAGACACCAGATCTTTAGCAATATATAAAGCAAAAACTGATAAGACTGCAAGGAGAAATAGAACAATCCTCTACCACAGCTGCACACCTTGATATGCTTTCTAAAGTCATCATAGAACTAGCAGGTTAAATATCAATAAGGAAATGTTTGAATTATACTGTAGAATCAACTTGACCTTATTGATATTAATAGACTCCTTAGTCTCACAACAGCAGTATATACATACTTCTCAACTTGGCATTGCCATAACATATACCTGAAAAACTTTTTAAAAATAGAAATCATGCAAGGAATGTTCTCAGATGAAAATAAAATTAAGCTAGAAATTAACATATGTAATTCCAAAATATTTGGATATTAAATAACACACTTCTAAATAACACCTTGGATCAAGAAAGAAGTCTCAAAAGAAATAATAAACATTTTGAAATGAAAATGAAAGTATCAAAATTTGTAGGATACACAGATAGCTATACCTAGAGAGAAACTTCTAGCATTAAAGTATCCATTTTATGGATCAAGGATCTAGGAATTAAACCAGAGACTCTGTGTCTAATAGAAGGCAAATTAGTGCAGCCAATTTGGAAAGCAGTATGGAGATTCCTTGGAAATCTGGGAATGGAACCACTATTTGACCTAACTATTCCTCTTCTCGGACTATACCCAAAGGACCTAAAAACAGCATACTATAGGGACACAGCCACATCAATGTTTATAGCAGCACAATTCACAATAGCTAAACTGTGGAGCCAAACTAGATATCCTTCAGTGAATGAATGGATAAAAAAATATGGCATTTATACACAATGGAATATTACTCAGCACTAAAAAAGAATAAGATCATGGCATTTGTAGGGAAATGGATGGCATTAGAGAAGATTATGCTAAGTGAAGTTAGCCAATCCCAAGAAAACAAATGCCAAATGTTTTCTCTGATATAAGGGGGGTGACTCAAAGTGGGATAGGGAGGGAGAGCATGGAAGGAAGATTACCTCTAGATAGGGAATAGGGGTGGGAGGGAAAGGGAGGGAGAAGGGGAATAGAAAGGATGGTGGAAGGAGATGGTCATCATTATGCAAAATACATGTATGAAGATGTGAATTTGGTGTCAACATACCTTATATACAAACAGAGATGTGATAAATTGTGGTATAAAGGTGTATTAAGAATTGTAATGCAAAAAATATAAGACAGCTCATGTATAATGCATAATTTGGCATGAACATACTTTATATACAGAGTTATGAAAAATTGTGCTGTGAATGGATAAGTATGAAAGTAATGCATCCCACTATTGTCATGTATGTAAGAAATAAATTTTAAAAATGCATTCATACATTGAGGAGTGCTCAGTATAAAATGAATACATCCAGATTGCTTATTTTTAATTGTAAATAAAAATGTCTTTAATAATAAAATTTTAACCTGTGGAAGGGGGGAAAAATAAAGGAATCCATTTTAAAAAAGAAACATCTAAAAATCAATAATTTAAGCTTTTGCAAACAAACTAGTATATTCATTCAAAACAGTGTTATTTGGTAATAAAAGGAAATGATCTCTCAGGTCATGATCACACAGGTGCATACTGATGAGTGAAATACACTGGCCTGGAAAAGGCTGTGCATTGTATGATTCCGTATGATACTCTGGAAAAGGCAAAGCTACAGAGATATTTAAAAGAGCAGTGATTGCCTGGAGCTCCAAAGGGGACAAGGAGGGATAAGTAAGAAAAGCATATTGGGGGGTGATTAAACTATTCTGCACAATACCATAATGGTGAACTTATGACATCATGCAGTTTTGAAACCCATATAGCACCAAGAATAAATGTAGTTTATGCAGATTTTTAAATAAATTACCGTGGAGGTCAGAGTATCCAAGGAAGTCATGTAGACTATGATGAGAGACTCTAAATGTATTACAAAATTTTTGAGACAAACTCTCCAAAAGGGGTGGCGGGGAAAGAGATGGGGGGAAAAATGCCAGCTTAAGTGACTTTGAACCTGAATAGAGACTGCAAGACTCAAGGCAAAAGAAACTGTGCATGAGCCCTGTGCTCTGATAAAGAGCTAGAGAACTCCCAAGAGAACAACTGAACAATTCTGACACAGGGATCCAAATATAGTGGAACTGAATAGTTAAGGAAATGGGTAGTAAATGGTGGGAGCCAGCCAGGAATCTCACTGTCAGGGTGGAAGTCTTCAGAAAATCAAGAGAAGGAAGCTAGACTTAATTCAGATGGTAATGGATTGAGCCAGCAGTTAGGAAGTCTTGTTAGCTTAATATAAACATGCCTCCGTATGGCGAAGCATGTGCACACATATGTCTGTGCATTCATACTCCCAGGTTAGTATGCACACATATTTCTTTCTCTGTCTACTATGAGGGCCTAACAAGGTAAAAATAATAAAATAAAACAAACATCCAACACCCACTCTCATATCCTTCTCCAACAAAGGGAAATCTCTGGAGAAATGGCAGGTTCTAGGGATGGGACTGGGGTTGTGGCTCAGTGGTAGAGCACTTGCCTAGCATGTGTGAGGCACTGGGTTCCATCCTCAGCACCACATAAAAAAAATTTTAAATGTATATATAAATAAATAAAGTTATTATGTCCATCAATAACTAAAAAATAAATAAATAAAAACACTACCTCAGAGCACTTTATAGTGACAGAAAGAAAGTGTTCACAAATAAAACAAAATTCTGGATTGAGGGGAATACACCAAAAGGGGCAAAAGACCCAAGTTAAAGAGCTCCCTTTAGCCAAAACTGGAAAAATTTAAGCAACAAATATAATAGGATTGGAGTATAACCCAGAGAATTAAATAAGAAGTCAAGAGTGCATATTGATATAAATTAATTTTGAATTGCCAAATGGGGAATAAGAGACATATTGCAAATAATTTATGTAGCTATTCCACCATAAAAGAAGTAGAGCATAACTCCCTACTCCTTAAGTATGGAAGGAACATAGTGATTTCCTTCCACAGGAAAAGAACAAAAATTATTAGAGAAAACAAGTAACTCTACCTGAAGAAACCTAGCAAACTGGGCTTCGGCTGGGTGATCAAGGTCAACGTCAAGAGTGGTAAATCATGTCGACAGCATGTTCCCTCAACACGATGTGATGGAAGTGTCACTTTACCTCTCCTATCAACCTCCTTCCCCCACAAAAACCATCACTCCTGTGCAATCACAAAAACACTACGACAAATCCAAATTGAAGGACATTCTACAAAATGCCTGACCAGTAATCCTCTAAACTGTCAAGGTGATAAAAATCAAGAAGGCGGCTAGAAATTGTCACAGTCAGGAGACACCTAAGGAGACTTGACAACGCAATGTAAGTAGTACCCTGGATGGGATTCTGGAAAAGCACAAAGACGTTAAACACTAAAGAAATCCAAATAAATTATGAGCTTCAGTTAATAATAACATTTGTTCACTAACGACATCAAATGCTACTTACAATGGGGGAAAGCGTGTAAGGTACACAGGAATTCTCTGTATTCTTGATTTTTCTGAAAATCTGAAAGAGAAGAAAAATTAAAATCTATTGAAATAGATGCCAGATTTAGGATGATTCAAAAAAAAACCCATCACATTGCTACTATTTGAATATGTCCCCCTAAAGGGTATGTTGAAAAGTTAATCCTCAGTGAAGAAGTGTGGGGAGGTGGGGCCGGATGAGAGGCGAGTGGCCAGGAGGGCTCTGCCCTAGTGAGTAAAATAATGCCCTTATCATGAGAGCAGTTTCCTTATAGATTATAAGGATGTGCTTGTGACACGGCTCCTGGGCTGCCAAGACGCATAGCTGGCCTACTACGCCCTGCTGAGAAGCAGCAGTAAAGTAGTGGAGCAGTGGCCCAAATGGGTCCAGCACTAGCAGCAAGCACTATGGCCACATGAAGCCCACCAAGCAGGCACGGGAGCCAGCACCCAGGGGAGCCAAGGTCTGCCAACCTGTCACCCTTCAGCAGCCAGGCCTGGGCCTGCTGCAGAAACCCACTCCACACAACACGGCAGCCCCATCCAGAGACCTCAACCTCCTCCCTCCTGACCTGGTACGAGAAAATGGAAGTAAGTTGGGACTCAAGATTTGACCCATCATGTTATGTCTCCAAGCCCTAATCAGCATGAATTTGAACCAAGAGAATTAGTACGGTTCTAAAACCTAAGTTTGGACCAATAGCAGCGAACTAAGTGCTATATAAACCCCTAGACAGCACACCCCAAGGGAGAAACCCTGCTATTGGTCCCCTATCACACTGCAAGAGTTCTGTTCCTGCTCTTCAATCAATCCTACTATTACACTCACCCATCCTGGTCTGTGGAGTTCATTCTTAGAATTCACAAGACAAATTGTGAATGTGTAACTGATGTGATTCTGCAATTGGTATTTGGGGTAAAAATGGGAATTCATAACTCACCTGAATCAAATGTATGAAAGATGATATGTCATGAGCTTTGTAATGTTTTGAACAACCAATAAAAAAAAAAAATTAAAAAAAAAAAAAGAATTCACAAGACAAGAACTCAAGAAGACAACGGTGAGCTGCTGGGGTCTGCTGCAATGCTCGAGGGCATGGGCCACAGTTAAGAGCTGCAGCCCTGCTGGCCGCAGAGGCCTGCGGACCCAGCTGCCAGCACAAGCAGTGAATCGGGTTTCATCTCAGAACTCCGGTTACATCTGCACATGTTCTCTCGCTCCTCTCTCCCTGCCTCCCTCCGCTCCCCACCCACTACCTTTCTCACCTTTGCACGTCCTATCACAGGATGACGCAACAACAAGGCCCTCAGCAGATGCTGGTACTTGATATTTAACTTACCAGACTCCAAAACTGTAGGAATAAATTGAATTCATTTGAAGTTACCCAGTCGTGGATATTCTGTTACAGCAACCACAAAACACACTAAGACACCTATGTGCTGAGTTCCAGTCCTATTCATATGACTACTTTATTTAATGACATGGTAATCAGCTGTCCCTCAGTTTATGAAACAGTTGTTGGAAATTATAATAGTCAATAACAAATCTACATCCAAACTCTACTTTGGTTAAAGTACTACACTGATGCTTAAAGGATTAAAAAAAAAAATCCTAGAAGTGCTTCAACTGCCCTTCTTACTGCCCCGCTCTCCACAAAAACCTGTCGATTTGGGGGAAGCACACACATACAAAAACAACTAGTAATTTACAACGAATACTAAGTAAATATAATTGCTGTATAAATTCAGAGAGAAGGGTCAAGACTTGAGCCAAAAAATATGTCGTAGGGAAACTAATGCAAGAGTCAGAGAGGAAGAAGGAAGGGAGGGCAGAACTGTGATGAGTGCACAGAGTATTCAGACCGAAAGTCCCAGGGGTCCGATGGAAGCATGTGGAGCATTTCCAATGGTGTAGAGTCATAAGCAATGCAGACATCACCACTACTTGCAAAGTTCCAAACATGATGACCCATGAGGCAGAGTGCCCAACAATTACAACATCCAGCCAATGAACACTTGGGAAATTTAAAGCACACATTAATTTTAAAATGAAGCAAATATTAATAACTTTAATACTGCATCTTTATTCCAAGGACTTCAAGATAGTTCTCAAATATAATTTCACTTAACTTCATAGTTCTTAATAATAAAATCATGACCTAAAAATGCCTACGTAAAAGAAGATGGACTTTTAAAGTTAGATGTGGGTTTAAAAATCTAAGTTTCTGGAAGAGGGTTTTTTCCTTCATTCTGCAGCATCTCTTAGTAGGTAACAGTGAATACTCATTAAAGTTTAGAGGAACTGAGAAACTTTCAACAGATATGTTATCAAACCAGGAGGCTTGTTTAGAAGAAGTAACACACATGGGGCAAAAAAACTGATATGATTAATCTGATAAAATATTAAATGCTAATTTTCACATTTTATTTATATAAGTAACTTTCTATGATAAAAATAGTATATTATATTAGATTGGGATCCTATTTTTTTCTTATGTAGAAAATGAACCAGGTTCTAGAAGTGTCCCTTTTTCCTTTTCCTTTAAAATCTTGAAATGAGGGAAGTATTTAGCCCAATATCCTAAGTGGGCATAACCTGTTAATGAGCCACACTTCCTTCCATCAGAATCTCTAACACTAAAAACAATATCATAAGGTTTTCAAAACCTGCCTACATTTAAGCATGTTCTGCATTAAAGAACAATAATACCTAAACTTTGCATGAAACCTCACTCTTTTCCAGGTGATTTTCCATACGTCTTCTTTTGACTTTGGACTTCACAGCTTAGTAAAACAGACCATGATTTTATACACAAAGGAACAGAGGCTTGGGATATAGAAGTGATCTGTCTAAGACGAGATGCCTAAGAAAGGGCATGACTTGTTAGTTTTATCACCAAAGCTTAATTTCAAAGCATCAAAAACTTCTCTTCAGAAATATACTGCTATATGTAGAGAGACTGCTAAACAGTGCTATTCTGTAAGGGCTTTTGTTTTATTTCATCTGATTTTAGCAATTCAGCAAGTGTCCTTCTCAATGGGCAATTTGCCAGGAGAAGGAAATGGTTCCATTTAGAGAGGCAGAAATTAAAATAGTGGCAATTAAAATGGGATTCTTCCTATGGCATTAATACACCCTCCACTGCCTGGACCTCAGGATGAATTTCAACAAAGGTGTGTGCAGGGGACAGCCAGCAGGGGGCACACCTGTTGGGTGGGGATTAAAACTGAAGAAGCCTGTGAGTGGTCTCTCTGCTTCAAGGTTTCAAACCAGCTTATCCCAGGTCCTACAAGAATGTGGCTCTTGACTCTTCTTGATAATGGAACTCTAGATCAATCATTACTTCAGTATCACACCCATGATCTTCCTACAGTAGATGTCTAGTAAGTTGGCTCCCTGTGCAACATTCCTGGGGATCAAAAACAGTCTTCTTCTCATCGTTCTTTTCATCAAGAATTATTTCCAGGGTTACATCCCTCAAGTAAAGTCTGGGCTCTAAGCCTTAGGCTCTGCTGCTTTCCCACCTGTGACTGCTATTTAAAACCAGCCACTACCAACCGATCCTCACAAACACTGATTTCCCACCCAGCTGTTGTCACCTATCTTGCACTGCCTACAGCCCACCTCCAGCAACCTGGGCCACTAGGCATGATTGACAGGAAACTGTACTTCAAGTTGCAGTGGCCAAGAGTGAATTAATTGCCTAAAGGTGACTTTAAATTTTTAAATTTCAGGAGTAAATAGCCCTAGAGTACCTCATAGTTAATCCTACTGTTTGTATTTTCCTTTCTAAAAATAAAATTTTATTTATTTTTAAAAAATCTCTCTAACTGGAAAAATAATACAAAGTTGACAGAACTTTTGGGGAAAAGAAACAAAATACATGAATCACTTACTTGTGTTTTTCAATTTCTCAATGAATATTAATATAGATCACACATAATAGTTTGTTTTGCTAACTTCATTTAGTATTTTTATCAAGAACATTTTCTCCTTAATTAAAAATTCTTCTACAGTGTTTTTAGATGCTGCATGAATTTCCATCATATGAGAATATGATAATTTATTTAATCATGGCCCTAAGGTCTTTTCTTCTTAGCGTATGGAAATTGCTATAAGGTGAAGTCAAACAGGGACACTGCTTAAGAAATGAAAACATTACCATTGGCTCAGAAAAAGTAACATCTTGTGGCCATATTCTCACTGACCTAGGAATGGAGATGTCCTGAGAGTTGTCTTAGATGGAAAATAACCGCACACTTAGCATGCCAGCCTTTTCAGGCCACCCAGCAAGTACAGAGAGGATGCGCTCCACATCATAGGTAAAGTATTGACATGCAAACAACACCAAACTTAACCAATCACTGCTCTGACTTTCAAAACTGAAAATCAAGTGTCCAAGATATTTTTAGACACACAAGATGAAAAGTAACCAAAATAAATCTCTGGATGAATTGAGCCATGCAAACATTGTCTATTCCCCACTCTTGTTCCCCATATTCCCATGAGCCAATAGATGTCTGTAACCAATCTCAGGAGCTGAAAGGTCCTACTGCTCTTCTAGAAACATACTAACCTTCTACCTATGACTGTACTAAAATGCCTCCTGAAGTATGGAATAAATGGCAAACATGTACAGAATCAGTGACACACCAATGACATTCATATTTATTTGTTTATACCCAAAGTTTGAAACACATGAAACGTCCACAGAGTGTTTTGCTCCAGTTACTGCCCATCATAAATGGAACTTCCTGAAGAAAATAAATTCCCCTTAGCAACACGGAAGAATTAACCAGGAACGAATGTGCCAAAATGTCCACCAGACTCTAAATTATTAGAAGACGGGGACTGACTAGAGCATTAAACTGAACATAGAAGCAGAACTGTGAAAGGGAGCTTATTTCAATGCAAATATCAAAGAACAAAGCAAATTAATGGCAAAATAAAGCATATGATAAGCTTGTTCCAGCAACTATGGTTCAAGCCCTGCAAGTAAGAAAATGATTTTCCTCAGAGGCCTCAAAGTCTTAGTCAAA